TCCACCATTGGGATCAGCGTCAACAATTCTGCTCCCGACTATACCGCCCTTCAGGATTTATTGAACAGTCTCCAAAACTGGGCCACCAACAACCAAGTCACCATCAACCATACCAAGACCATGGTTATGCACATCAACCTCTCCTCCGACATTGTCCCACCTCCTTCCATTACTTTAGGTCCGAACACACTCCAGGTTGTAGATTCCACGAAGCTCCTCGGCGTCACCATAGACAACAAGCTAAATTGGAAACCACACGTCAGTGAAGTTGTCAAATCCCCCAGTTTCCGTTTCCACCTCCTCCGCCGACTCAAGTCCCTCGGAGTTCCTGCACCCGAGCTCCTCAGTGTTTACACAACATTCATACTTCCCAAGCTCACCTATGCCTCCCCTACCTGGTCTTCCTCCCTAAATGCCACACAACGTAAACACCTAGAAAAAGTGCAAAAGAGGGCAGGCAAGATTATTCTCTCCTCTTCCTACTCCACATATCAAGAAGCGCTCAACACACTGACTCTTTCGACTCTCACTGAGCATCACCACGACCTCATCTGCAAATTTGGTAAGAAGCTTCTACACCATCCTCGACACCGGCTCCTACTACCACCTGAGATCCCTAGCCCGAGAATTGCTTTTCGACACCACAACCGCATCCAGCCCATACGTGCACGAACTGATCGCTATAAGAACAGCCCAGTCCCAACCATTGTAAAAATTATCAATAACTTGTAATAACCAGTGTATTCACTCCCAGTAAATACTACTTCTTGCACTGTCACTATGTTGAAATGCACTGTAGTTTGAGCTTTTCCCCATCTAGTTATTATATATCTTATTTGTATCACTTATGTTACTTGTATATTATTTGTAATTCGTAACCCATTCCCAAATATGTAACTGTATATTTTCAGCCTTCTGACTGCCAAGCTCTTTCAATAAACCATTATTACATATTACATACGCCACACACACACACACACACACACACACACACATACATACACCAACACACACACACACACACACACATACACACACACACACACACACACACACACACACACACACACACACACACACATCCCCCACACGCACACACATACACCAACACACACACACACACACACACACACACACACACACACACACACACACACACACACATACCTCCCCCACACACACACACACACATACATACACCAAACACACAACATATATACACCAACACACACACACACACACACACATCCCCCCACACACACACACACACACATCCCTCCCCCCACACACATACATACACAACACACACACACACACACACACACACATCCCCACACACACACACTGTATAATTGTTATGGTTACATTTACAACATTGTCGTAACATCACGATGATATCACTGTCTTTACGGAAGAGAATGTTGCGTTCATTGCGTTAACTCACAAAATACATTATTGCAGCGTTGATTACGTTCACATGAAAAGATAATACCGCGTTCTCTGTGTTTACTGTTCACTTCGAGTTTAATATTAACTTCATTTTGGAGAATGATTTTTTATTCATTGCCTTCACTTTTAAGGCTATTATCGCGTTCACTAGGGAGGGAAATCTTTAGTCTACTGCCTTTATAATGTCGCCCAGAAGAAGACACGCCCGTTCACCGAGGAAGAGCATGGAGTGTCTAATGCGGCGTTCACTCAGGTGGAGACTATTAGACAGTGGGTGGTGGTGGGCTAGAGGGGGAGGGGAGTAGGTGTTGGTGGGTTAGAAGGAGGGGCAGTGAGTAGTGGTGGGTTAGGAGGAGGGGCAGTAGGTGGTGGTGAGTTAGAAGGAGGGGCAGTGGGTAGTGGTGGGTTAGGAGGAGGGGCAGTGGGTGATGGTGAGTTAGTGGGAGGAGCAGTGGGTGTTGGTGGGTTAGGAGGAGCAGTGGGTGGTGGTGGGTTTGGTGGTGGTGGGTTAGGAGGAGGGGCAGTGGGTGGTGGTGGGTTCGTTGCGTTCATTCAGGAAAGGAAGTTTACTAACAAGGAAGTTTACTGACAAGGAAGTTCACTAACAAGGAAGTTCACCAACAAGGAAGTTCACTAACAAGGAAGATTACTAACAAGGAAGTTTACTGACAAGGAAGTTCACTGACAAGAAAGTTCACTAACAAGGAAGTTTACGAGCAAGGAAGTTTACTAACAAGGAAGTTTACTAACAAGGAAGTTCACTAACAAGGAAGATTACTGACAAGGAAGTTCACTAACAAGGAAGTTTACTAGCAAGGAAGCTCACTAACAAGGAAGTTCACAGACAAGGAAGTTCACTAACAAGGAAGATTACTAACAAGGAAGTTTACTGACAAGGAAGTTCACTGACAAGAAAGTTCACTAACAAGGAAGTTTACGAGCAAGGAAGTTTACTAACAAGGAAGTTTACTAACAAGGAAGTTCACTAACAAGGAAGTTTACTGACAAGGAAGTTCACTGACAAGGAAGTTTACAGACAAGGAAGTTCACAGACAAGGAAGTTCACTGACAAGAAAGTTCACGAACAAGGAAATTTACTGACAAGGAAGTTTACTGGCAAGGAAGTTTACTGACAAGGAAGTTTACTGACAAGGAAGTTTACAGACAAGGAAGTTTACTGGCAAGGAAGTTTACTGACAAGGAAGTTCACTGACAAATAAGTTTACTGACAAGAAAGTTCACGAACAAGGAAGTTTACTGACAAGGAAGTTTAGCGACAAGGAAGTTTACTAACAAGGAAGTTTACGAACAAGGAAGTTCACTGGCAAGGAAGTTTACTGACAAGGAAGTTCACTAACAAGGAAGTTTACTGACAAGGAAGTTTAGCGACAAGGAAGTTTACGAACAAGGAAGTTCACTAACAAGGAAGTTTACTGACAAGACAGTTCACTAACAAGGAAGTTTACTGACAAGGAAGTTTAGCGACAAGGAAGTTTACGAACAAGGAAGTTCACTGACAAGGAATTTTACTGACAAGGAAGTTCACTAACAAGGAAGTTTACTGACAAGAAAGTTCACTAACAAGGAAGTTTACTGACAAGGAAGTTTACTAACAAGGAAGTTTACTGACAAGGAAGACAAGGAAGTTTACTGACAAGAAAGTTCACTAACAAGGAAGTTTACAAGGAAGTTTACTGACAAGGAAGTTACTAACAAGGAAGTTCACTGACAAGGAAGTTTCACAAGGAAGTTTGACAAGGAAGTTTACTGACAAGGAAGTTTACGAACAAGGAAGTTTACTGACAAAGTTTACTGACAAGGAAGTTTACTGACAAGGAAGTTTACTGACAAGGAAGTTTACGACTGACAAGGAAGTTTACTGACAAGGAAGTTTACGGGCAAGGAAGTTTACTGACAAGGAAGTTTGACAAGGAAGTTTACGAACAAGGAAGTTTACTGACAAAGTTTACTGACAAGGAAGTTTACTGACAAGGAAGTTTACTGACAAGGAAGTTTACTGACAAGGAAGTTTACGGGCAAGGAAATTTACTGACAAGGAAGTTCACTGACAAGGAAGTTCACTAACAAGGAAGTTTACTGACAAGAAAGTTCACTAACAAGGAAGTTTACTGACAAGGAAGTTTACCGATAAGGAAGTTTAATGACGGAAGTTCACTGACAAGGAAGTTTACAAACAAGGAAGTTTACTGACAAGGAAGTTTACGAACAAGGAAGTTTACGATCAAGGACGGTTACTAACAAGGAAGTTCACTGACAAGGAAGTTTACGAACAAGGAAGTTTACGAACAAGGAAGTTTACTGACAAGGAAGTTTACGAACAAGGAAGTTTACTGACAAGGGAGTTTACTGACAAGGAAGTTTACTGACAAGGAAGTTTACTGACAAGGAAGTTTACTGACAGGGAACTCTACTGGCAAGGAAGTTTACTGGCAAGGAAGTTTACTGACAAAAGTTCGCTCAGAAATTGTCTGACTAAGGCGTTCACTGACATTATTCCTGTAGAAGAACCTGAAGAAGTTAAGGAGCAGAGCCACAGGGGTAAGGAAGGGGGGAGTGGGGAGGTTAAAAAGTCGCTTGTGACCTAACTGAAAATGGGGGGGGTGGAGGAAAAAGTGGGGGTGGGTGGGGGAAGAAAAGTGGGGAGGTGGGTGTAAAGTAGGTAAATTTTGGAGAGGAGCAGTGAGTGGTGGTGGGGTAGGAAGAGGGGCAGTGGGTGGTGGTGGGTTAGGAGGAGGGGCAGTGTGGTGGTGGGTTGGGGGGGACAGTGGGTGGTGGTGAGTTAGGGGAGGGTTGGTAATGAGACTGATAGAGGAGCTGTTCATGGGTAGGAAGGTAGAGAGAGGAATGAGAAGGAGGGAGTGGAGGAAGAAGGAAAGAGACGAGGGGGTGAAGGAGGAGAGAACGAGGAGGAAGAGGATGTAGGAGCAAAGAGGAAGGGATATCAAAGGGGGTGGAGGTGAAGAGGCGTATGGAGGTGACAAGGGGGGGGGGAGATGAGGAGGAGGATGTAGAAACGGTTCTCATCACTACATTCTCTAAGTCTTTATAAACATACCACAAATACGAGTCAGGAATGAGCGATTACTGATTGAAAAGCGATTATTGCTAACTTAGAAGCGATTTTACTGATATAATCCGTAACACAGTGTCTCTGGATAACTGCTCTGTGGTGAGACTACTTTACCCAGTATTGTCTTCTCGGGTTATGTCTTGTTTAAATATGACAGTAAAAAAGTCATTTGTTCGTCATTGTCTTCCTATGATTTCAACTTTAGAGAATTTACCCGACATGAGCCACTCTCCGGTAGCCCGCACACTAGCTCACTCTAGCTTACAGTAAAGGCTCTCAAAACACAATAGATTAATAGATGTCTTAGATTAAATTAACAACAGTGATAGAAATTTTGAATCCTGAAAAGAAGATACAGCGAATGAATAAATTATATAAGATATAGGACAAAAACACCTACAACAATAATAATAATAATAATAATTGACCAAGAACGACAAAAGGAGCTCAGTATACACACCTGCAAGCACCACCCTCCTCTGCCACCGCCAAGAAGTCACTGTTGACTGACCAGTGACTTGAGAAAAATATTCTCTCTTCTTACACCTGCAACTGCGCCCTGAAAGCACCAATCAACACCTCGGACTCCATGACGTCAAACAGCCATGAGACTGTCCACCAATCAGGTTATTTTTCTTTGTAAGGAATAACATCCCATTCATTTTTGATTGGTGCAGGGTCATACGTGCGGGAGTTAAGTTCTCAACCACGAACACAACCTCAATAACCCCGCAACCTACCCCCATCACAACCTAAACCCACACAAACAACACCCCCAACCACACAGACAACACCCCCCAACCACACAAACAACACCCCCAACCACACAGACAACACCCCCCAACCACAGAAACAACACCCCCAACCACATAAACAACCTTCAGCAACTACTACACCAGGCTAATCTTGTCAACTATCCTCATCTCACTAGCTATCCCCTTCCCTAGTCTCTCTCCTCCCTCAACTATCCATTCACCTTTATTACGTCACGCCGTCACGGGTAAAATAAACAGTTACCGGGTTGGAAAATTTCATCGTGTTTTGCGGAAGCTTTTGGTCGTAAGATTTCGATGGAGATATAAGATGAACGTGAGGTAGGGAGTAGGGGTAGGGAGTAGGGGTAGGGGGGGCAGAGCGGAGGAGGAAGAGTGGGGGAGGAGTAGGGGGAGGACGAGCATTGGCCTCAAAAAAGATCTGAGTGTCCATCAGAGAGTCGTTTCAGTTGTTGTGTGGCTGGGTAGGAAGGAGGTTCAGGACGCTCTGCTCATGATGGCTCGCCCTGTTCCACCACGTTCCTTGCATCATCATTGACTCATTCGTTTTTTGACGGTACAAGAAAGTGCTCAAGGAACCTGTGTAAAGTAACGGTACCGAGTTTGTGTTGATAATATTTTCACAGTGTTAAACAACATGAGAAAAAGAGTACTAATGATAGAATTTTAGGTGCTACTATAGCGTCCAGTCTACCAGATATTTTGGTTAGGTTAGGTTAGATATATTTGTTGACCGCACGCTAAAGTGGCACCAAATTGTAAGTGGGGTGTAATGACCAGGTAAAGACGCAAGTGCTGGTGGCAGTGAGTAACTGAGACACGTCATCATGAACCCGCGAAACAACTGGACTGTGCGTGTAGTAGCCTTAACTACCCTCGCCGGGGCCTTCCTCGTGTACCATCACTCCAAGGGGGGAGCGACGCCCCTCGACACTACCACCACTCAGGTGCTGATCAACGATAATGGACGGGCGGCAAGTGTGAGACTCTCTCTAAGTGAAATACAGTCTCTCATCCTGAAGGCGACGCCGAAGAGCACTGAGAGAGAAACAGGAGTACATGATAAGGGAAGAGTATTTGGCCAGAAGTCTCAGAACAACACTAGGGACAAGGTGACCAAGGAACGTTTCCTGGAGGTGGAGGAGCCGGCCTGGACACACCCGGTGATTCAGCCCTCACGCGGGTCCTTCCTCAACACCCTCGACCTCTCCACCTACCCAGACAAGGTAACGTGACCAGGCGTAAAGGTTGTTGTAGGCTGTACAGATGCGTGGGGTTGGTGGTAGGGTGTACAGATGTGTGGGGTTAGTAGGCTATACAGGTGTGGGGGTGATGGTAACGGTACAGGTGTGTGAAGGTGGTGGTAGGCTGTACAGGTGTGTGAGGGTGGTGGTAACTGTACAGGTGTGTGAGGGTGGTGGTAGGCTGTACAGGTGTGTGAAGGTGGTGGTAGCTGTACAGGTTTGTGGGGGTGGTGGTAGGCTGTACAGGTGCATGAGGGTGGTGTTAGGCTGTACAGGTGTGTGGGAGTGGTGGTAGGCTGTACAGGTGTGTGAAGTTGGTGGTAGCTGTACAGGCTTGTGGGGGTGGTGGTAGGCTTTTACAGGTGCAGGGAGGGTGGTGGTAGGCTGTACAGGTGTGTGGGGAGTGGTGGTAGGCTGTACAGGTGTGTGGGGTGGTGGTAGGCTGTACAGGTGCATGAGGTGGTGGTACAGGCTGTACAGGTGTGTGTGAGGGTGGTGGTAGCTGTACTTGTACAGATGTGACAGGTGTGTGGGGTGGTGGTGGTGGTGGTGGGTTGTGCAGGTGTGTGAGGTGGTGGTGGGCTGTACAGGTGTGTGGGGGTGGTGGCTGTACAGGTTTGTGGGGAGTAGGCTGTACAGGTGTGTGAGGGGTGGTGGTAGGCTGTACAGGTGTGTGAGGGGGTGTGGGCTGTACAGGTGTGTGGGGGTGGTGTAGGCTGTACAGGTGTGTGAGGGTGGTGGTAGGCTGTACAGATGTGAAGGTGGTGGTAGGCTGTATAGGTTTGTGAAGGTGGTGGTAGGTTGTACAGGTGTGTGAGGGTGGTGGTAGGCTGTACAGGTGTGTGAGGTGGTGGTTGGGTGGGGTGTGTGGGGTGGTGTGGCTGTACAGGTGTGTGGGGGTGGTGGTAGGCTCTACCGGTGTGTGAGGTGGTGGTTGGCTGTGCAGGTGTGTGGGGGTGGTGGTAGGCTGTACTGGTGTGTGGGGGGTGGTGGTAGGCTGTACAGATGTGTGAGGGTGGTGGTTGGCTGTACAGATGTGTGTGGAGGTTGAGTGGAGGTTGGCTGTACAGATGTGTGAGGGTGGTGGTTGGCTGTACAGATGTGTGAGGGTGGTGGTTGGCTGTACAGATGTGTGAGGGTGGTGGTTGGCTGTACAGATGTGTGAGGGTGGTGGTTGGCTGTAAATATTGATCAAACGCTTATATAAATATGAAACCAACAAGAATAACTTTGAAATTATCAAGATTAAGATAGGTGACTAATAAGATAGGTGATTATTAAGATAGGTGACTATTAAGATAGGTGACTAATAAGATAGGTGACTATTAAGATAGGTGACTATTAAGATAGGTGACTAATAAGATAGGTGACTATTAAGATAGGTGACTATTAAGATCGGTGACTAATAAGATAGGTGACTATTAAGATAGGTGACTAATAAGATAGGTGACTATTAAGATAGGTGACTATTAAGATAGGTGACTATTAAGATAGGTGACTAATAAGATAGGTGACTATTAAGATAGGTGACTATTAAGATAGGTGACTATTAAGATAGGTGACTATTAAGATAGGTGACTAATAAGATAGGTGACTATTAAGATAGGTGACTAATAAGATAGGTGACTAATAAGATAGGTGACTAATAAGATAGGTGACTATTAAGATAGGTGACTAATAAGATAGGTGACTATTAAGATAGGTGACTAATAAGATAGGTGACTATTAAGATAGGTGACTAATAAGATAGGTGACTATTAAGATAGGTGACTAATAAGTTAGGTGACTATTAAGATAGGTGACTATTAAGATAGGTGACTATTAAGATAGGTGACTATTAAGATAGGTGACTATTAAGATAGGTGACTATTAAGATAGGTGACTAATAAGATAGGTGACTATTAAGATAGGTGACTATTAAGATAGGTGACTATTAAGATAGGTGACTAATAAGATAGGTGACTAATAAGATAGGTGACTATTAAGATAGGTAACTATTAAGATAGGTGACTATTAAGATAGGTGACTATTAAGATAGGTGACTATTAAGATAGGTGACTATTAAGATAGGTGACTAATAAGATAGGTGACTAATAAGATAGGTGACTAATAAGATAGGTGACTAATAAGATAGGTGACTATTAAGATAGGTGATTAATAAGATAGGTGACTAATAAGATAGGTGACTATTAAGATAGGTGACTATTAAGATAGGTGACTATTAAGATAGGTGACTATTAAGATAGGTGACTATTAAGATAGGTGACTAATAAGATAGGTGACTATTAAGATAGGTGACTAATAAGATAGGTGACTAATAAGATAGGTGACTATTAAGATAAGAGGTGACTATTAAGATAGGTGACTAATAAGATAGGTGACTATTAAGATAGGTGACTAATAAGATAGGTGACTGACTTAAGATAGGTGACTAATAAGATAGGTGACTAATAAGATAGGTGACTAATAAGATAGGTGACTATTAAGATAGGTGACTAATAAGATAGGTGACTATTAAGATGGTGACTAATAAGATAGGTGACTAATAAGATAGGTGACTACAGATGGTGACTATTAAGATGGTGACTATAAGATAAGACTATTATGGTGACAATAAGATAGGTGACTATTAAGATAGGGATAGAGGTGACTATTAAGATAGGTGACTAATAAGATAGGTGACTATTAAGATAGGTGACTAATAAGATAGGTGACTATTAAGATAGGTGACTATTAAGATAGGTGACTATTAAGATAGGTGACTATTAAGATAGGTGACTATTAAGATAGGTGACTAATAAGATAGGTGACTAATAAGATAGGTGACTAATAAGATAGGTGACTATTAAGATAGGTGACTAATAAGATAGGTGACTAATAAGATAGGTGACTATTAAGATAGGTGACTATTAAGATAGGTGACTATTAAGATAGGTGACTATTAAGATAGGTGACTATTAAGATAGGTGACTAATAAGATAGGTGACTATTAAGATAGGTGACTAATAGGTGACTATTAAGATAGGTGACTGACTATTAAGATAGGTGACTATTAAGATAGGTGATTAAGATAGGTGACTAATAAGATAGGTGACTAATAAGAGATAGGTGACTGACTAATAAGATAGGTGATAGGTGACTATTAAGATAGGTGACTATTAAGATAGGTGACTATTAAGATAGGTGACTAATAAGATAGGTGACTATTAAGATAGGTGACTAATAAGATAGGTGACTACTAAGATAGGTGACTACTAAGATAGGTGACTACTAAGATAGGTGACTAATAAGATAGGGGACTATTAAGATAGGTGACTATTAAGATAGGTGACTAATAAGATGGGTGACTATTAAGATAGGTGACTATTAAGATAGGTGACTATTAAGATAGGTGACTATTAAGATAGGTGACTATTAAGATAGGCGACTATTAAGATAGGTGACTAATAAGATAGGTGACTATTAAGATAGGTGACTAATAAGATAGGTGACTATTAAGATAGGTGACTATTAAGATAGGTGACTAATAAGATAGGTGACTATTAAGATATGTGACTAATAAGATAGGTGACTATTAAGATAGGTGACTAATAAGATTGGTGACTATTAAGATAGGTGACTAATAAGATAGGTGACTAATAAGATAGGTGACTATTAAGATAGGTGACTATTAAGATAGGTGACTAATAAGATAGGTGACTATTAAGATAGGTGACTAATAAGATAGGTGACTATTAAGATAGGTGACTAATAAGATAGGTGACTGTTAAGATAGGTGACTAATAAGAGGTGACTATTAAGATAGGTGACTGACTATTAAGATAGGTGATAGGTGACTATTAAGATAGGTGACTAATAAGATAGGTGACTAATAAGATAGGTGACTATTAAGATAGGTGACTAATAGGTGACTATTAAGATTAGGTGACTATAATAAGATAGGTGACTATTAAGATAGGTGACTAATAATAAGAGGTGACTATTATGACTAATAAGAGGTGACTATTAAGATAGGTAAGACTATTAAGATAGGTGACTAATAAGATAGGTGACTAATAAGATAGGTGACTAATAAGATAGGTGACTATTAAGATAGGTGACTAATAAGATAGGTGACTATTAAGATAGGTGACTATTAAGATAGGTGACTATTAAGACCAGATAGGTGACTAATAAGATAGGTGACTATTAAGATAGGTGACTATTAAGAGGTGACTATTAAGATAGGTGACTAATAAGATAGGTGACTATTAAGATAGGTGACTAATAAGATAGGTGACTAATAAGATAGGTGACTAATAAGATAGGTGACTGACTATTAAGATAGGTGACTATTAAGATAGGTGACTAATAAGATAGGTGACTAATAAGATAGGTGACTAATAAGATAGGTGACTAATAAGATAGGTGACTAATAAGATAGGTGACTAATAAGATAGGTGACTATTAAGATAGGTGACTAATACATAATAAGGCTGAAACGCAATACAAAAAATATGCATCAGTCCAGGTAGTAGGCAGTAGGCAGCTACCACACAGGGAGGTACTACTGCCTGGGAAGATATTTGAAGCATAATGTGTTGTCTAATGGTAGACCCTGCTGCTCTATGTGACCAAGTCCCAGGTTGCTGATCTGACTTTCTGCCTCATTTACACACAATTGCAGGGTCTCAATTGTTTCTCTTACTTTGACAACACAACATACATATATTGTTTCTCACTATTGATCTTTTTTTATTTTTTTATTTCTTTATTATTATTATTATTATTATTATTATTATTATTATTATTATTATCATCATTATGATTAATATTAGTGTTGTTATTATTATTATCATTACTCTTTTATTTTATTTTTTTTATACATTTTATTTACTGTGAATTATTATTATTATTATTATTATTATTATTATTATTATTATTATTATTATTATTATTATTATTATTATTATTATTATTATTATTATTATTATTATTACTACTACATTTTTGCCCCCCAGGCCCCGATGTGGGTCAGTGACCTGTGCCCGGGTGGGCTAATCCCCGTAAAAAATAAGAAAAAATAAAAATATTCCAGCAGAACAGCTGTACACTTCTCTCGCTGCCAGTGCTCGCATATTTACACACACACAATACGACAAATTTCAGGTTCGTTGAAGTCTTATTTTTGGCACTTACAGAACTGTAATCAACCTGTTCACCCTTATTAAAAGTACCTTATGAGTAATGATATTAAATTTTAATCATTTCTGAATAATTATCAACACCAAAGTCACCAAATTAATGAAATCGGAAAGTGCCCACTTAAAAATGGGTGGAGCCAAAACTGGTTTCAACTAGGCGCAATCCTTTTCAATTCTTTCACGCCATACTCTTTGTTTTAGGTCCTATCTAATATACTATCGTATATAGAATTATTTTATTATTATATCACAGTTTTTTATTGCCTTACAGTACATGCCACCAACTCTTCAATATTAATCAAAATATTCTCCATAAGCAGCCATGATCCACGTATTTTCAGTGGGAGAAACTCGCTCATTGGTTGTTAGCTATTAGGGCGCCTCTACTAGCGCCTGATCAAGGTGTTAGCTTTTCCCTCTGAAAGTGTCATGCGCAGAAGTCAGCAACAGCGTCTGCACAGACAGAATTGCTAACGCGTTAGCTATTCCGTGCATCTGAAACACCTTACAATAACCGCCTATGTCCCACCAATCAGCGTTGCTCTCGGTGTCACGTGATACCCCTGCTCATGCTCAGTTTTGAATTTTATTTACTTATTTACTATCTATGTCTAGTCGCAATATGGCTTCTTTCTGCTATGGGTGTTAGTCGTCAGCTTGGCAAACTATTCGTCGTTTCTTTGAAAATGTAGTAGCTGCTATTGACATTTAAGTGTGCAAAGTGCGGTTAAGACTGTCACTATCGTCAAAAACCTTAGATTTTGTACTAAAAGACGGAAACTCTAGACAAATAAATCTCCACACTGGCTTCTGCGTTTCTGTTAAGGGCTCTTAGTTGGACAAGGTACTATCGTGGACAAAAGTTCCCTCCTTCCCAAACTGAAGCTGTATCGACCCGCACAACACACCCGCACCAGATAACAGTCAGGGTAAGTCAGTTGGGAGACTCATTCCCGTGACTCAGTTTCACTACAGGGAGCGAACTTTTGTCCACGATAGTACCTATCACTTTATCCTCCAGTATCTGATAATTAAGGTAAGGTTGGATTAGGTTTGGTGAGGTAAGGATTAGTTAGGTTAGGTTTTGGTTGAATTGGTTAGTTTTTTGGTGTTTTACCCCACAATTTCCCTTTACTTAAAAGCCCCGCCAAATTTGTGCAAACAAAATTGTTGGTAGTTGGGGGTCAATGGGTCATATCTCCATAACGATTCATCCCGACGGTAGTGAAGGTTAAATTCCTTCAAAATATCACGAAATACGAAAAAAATATATAATAAATAAATTTTTTTTAAGTAGTTTCCATAGTAGACAATTTCCGAATCTTTCTTTACCTGCGGCCGCTCTTAAAGATGACGACGCTTCCCTCACTCCTCAGTCAGCCAGTGTTTATAAGTGTTCAGTTATTTGTATTATACAGTATGAGTTAACTACGCCAGCATATAATTTTCACCTAATGACTGAACACTAAGGTTAATTTATACTAGTGCACTGTTCCTTCTTTGGGTATTAGAAATGTGTAAAAAAAATATAGAAAATCACCAAAAATCAACCCAACCTAATCCAACCCAACTCAACTCAACCTAACCCAACCCAAGCTAACCTAACCTAATCTAATCAGGGGGTACAGGGGGTCGGAGTTCCCTGATTAGCCTAGATTAGATAGAACGGTGCATTCATATAAAAAGACCAACACTAACGCTACCTGGATGAGGATTAGGTTAGCGTTAGGTTAGGTTAGATTAGGTTAGGTTGTGTTAAGCTAGTTTAGATTATATTTGGTTATGTTCAATTTGTTTTGGTTATTTACCTAATGACCACCCAACTAGTGGTAGTAATATCCCTCCATAGTTTTTGATAGTTTTGTCCAGGACTATTTTGAAGCCGAAAATGTGCCGCCCAACGTGGGGCTCGAACCCACGACCCCGAGATTAAGAGTCTCGTGCTCTACCGACTGAGCTAGCCGGGCTGGTGCTGTGCATGTTTTTGGTTGGATAAGGTTACGTTAGATTAGATTAAATTAAATCAAACTAATCATCAGGTGAAATAAGTTGGAGTGCCTAATCTTTACGAGACAGTATACTAGGGAGGGACACCAACATTGACTTGGTGCATCTCTCATCCGGGGTGTGTCCAGCAGAGAGCGAGAGGCCTGATGGAACGTTGCCAGAATACCTGTATTTTACGCCCTTACCCTGATTCCCGCCCTGATCTCCCTGCCCTCACCCCCACTCTCACCCCCACCTTTGACGATCCTCACTCCCACAAAAACCCCACTCACGCTCTCACACCCACCTAACCCCCCCCCCTCACCCTCACCTAACCCCGCTCGCGTTCTCACACCCACCCCCCCTCACCCCCACCTAAACCCCCTCACGCCCTCACCTCCACCTAACCGGCTCACGCTCACACCCACCTAACCCCCGCTCACCCCCACCTAACCCCCACCCCCACCTAATCCTTCACCCCACCTAACCCCACCCACGTCCTCACGCCCACTTAACTCTTAATAAAAAAAAAACAAGTGTAAGTGAAATGAAATCTTAGTATTTAGGTGGTTCAAGTGTCAGTAAAATTTAACGTGTTGCCACTCAAAGAATTTAGAGTATTTTATGGTTACAATCAATAGTTTAGACGATTCCAAGACACTTTTCTTCTATGACATTTCTCTCACAAGCGACCTAAACTAGCCTCCTAACTGGCATATACTGTACAATATAAGGTGGTGTGTGTGTCACCCCTAATAAATCACAAACGTGGAGAATGAGTTTAGCTTTGGCCTACAACCAAGACCGCTACATACATACATACATACATACATACATACATACATACATACATACATACATACATACATACATACATATATGAATAAATAGACTGTACAAAAATAACTCACTCAAAAAAAAAAAAGCTTGGAGCAATGTCATTACCTTCCACTACAACTTCCTCCACCATCGGCCGCTCTACTCTAGCTGACGACCTCTACTTGTAGGTCAAGATGTTAAGTTAGGTTAGATTAGATAATTTCGAGGTAATAAAGGAAATGTTATGTACAGTGTAAGAGCCCTCCATTGTTCTTGATAGTTTTGTTCAGGACTATTTTGAAGCCTAAAACATGAAGCCCAACGTGGGGCTCGAACCCACGACCCCGAGATTAAGAGTCTCGTGCTCTGCCGACTGAGCTAGCCGGGCTTAATATTTACTGAGGTTTGGTTATATTAGATTAAGTTAGATTAAATTAATCATCAGGTGAAATAAGTTGGAGTGCTTAATCTTTACGAGACAGTATACTAGGGAGGGACACCAACATTGACTTGGTGCATCTCTCATCCAGGGTGTGTCCAGCAGAGAGCGAGAGGCCTGATGGAACGTTGCCAGAATACCTGTATTTTACGCCCTTACCCTGATTCCCGCCCTGATCTCCCTGCCCTCACCCCCACTCTCACTCCCACCAAACCCCACTTACGCCCACCTAACCCCCCTCAACCCCACCCCACCCCCACCTAACCCCCCCTCACCCCACCGAACCCCCCTCACCCCACCGAACCCCCTCCACGCCCCCACCCCCACCTAACCCCACCCACGCCCTCATACCCACCCCCACCCTCGCCCCTAATAAAAAAAGTGTCTAAGTGAAATGAAATCTAGTATTTAGGAGGTTAAAATGACAGTAAAATTTCACTTGTTGCCACCCAAAGAATTATTGGGAATTTTATGACTGCAATCAATAACTTAGAAAATTCCAAGACACTTTTCTTTTATGACGTTTCTCTCACAAACGACCTAACCTATCCTAACTGGTCTATATAAGTCATTTGTGTGAAAAACGTCTTGGAAGAAAAGTGTCTTGGAATTTTCTAAACTATTGATTGCAACCATAAAATTCTCACATATATTCATACATACATACGTACATGGATATATAGATAAATAGACTGTACAAAAATAACTTGCTTGAGAAAAAATGCTTGGAGCCGTGTAATTTACCGCCCAACACCTGTCATCAATCACCTGACCACAACTTCCTCTACCATCGGCCGCTCTACCTCAGCTGACGACCGCTGTATGTAGGTCAAGAGGTTAGGTTATTTAATCTAATATCGAGGTAATAAAAACAATGTCATGTGTAAGATCCCTCCATCGTTCTTGATAGTTTTGTTCAGAATTATTTTGAAGGCAAAAAAAATGAAGCCCAACGTGGGGCTCGAACCCACGACCCCGAGATTAAGAGTCTCGTGCTCTACCGACTGAGCTAGCCGGGCTGTAATGTAACTGGTTTAGGTTAAATTGTTATCGGTTATGTCACACACTCCACCTCAACATTTATCACACAATGACTCTCTTCTCCTCATCACTCAACACACTCTACCTCTCTCTTTCACCTCATCACTCAACACACTCTGCCTCTCTCTTTCACCTTACCACTCAACACACACTACCTCCCTCCCCTCCTCCTTTCAACACACTACCTCCCTCCCCCTTTCAACACACTACCTCCCTCCCCCTTTCAACACACTCTACCTCCCCCTCCCCACTTTCAACACACTACTTTCCTCCCCCTTCCAACACACTCTACCTCCCAACCCCCTCTCAACAGACACTACCTCCCTCACCCCACCATTCACCACTCAACACACACTACCTCCTTCCCCCTCTCAACACACTCTAACACTCTCCTCCTCCACAGGATCGAGAGTTCCTCCAAAATCACCTGAAGAAGATGATCAACAGGGAGAAACACGTGATGAAGATGTGTCAGTCCCGGACTCGGCTGATAGTACCCAGACCGATCCACCTCCTCTGGCACAACCATCACCCGGATATTGTCTTGTGTCCCGTCTATAAGGTAAGTCACGTTGTACCGGTCCTGGGAAGTATTGTAGGTGTTTAAGGTACTAGGTTCCTTGTAGATACAGTACTACCAACAAGGGGAAGGTTCTGGTATATACATTGTCTACAAAGGGAAGGTTCTGGTATATACATTATCTACAAGGGGGAGGTTCTGGTATATACATTATCAACAAGGGGGAGGTTCTAGTATATACATTATCTACAAGGGGGAAGTTCTGGTATATACATTATCTACAAGGGGGAGGTTCTGGTATTTACATTATCTACAAGGGGAAGGTTCTGGTATATACATTATCTACAAGGAAGATGTCCTAATTAATACTACATCTACAAGTGAAAGGTCCTGTACGAGATATCACTATAGTACACGATACACCATCACTGACAGGTATTGTATAGTTGACGGTTCAGACATTCTCCACCACTGTCAGAATTAACTTAAGATTACTGTCTTTTCTCCGTCTCTTCACCCCTCAGATATTTACTTCACTTTATAGAGGAAATTTTCGTCGTAAGATTTAGTTTTAAGTTACAACCGAGTCTTAAGGATAACTGCCGTAAGTTATAGCTGTAAGTTACGTTAATTTCAACACGAGGGAGGTGAAGGTACGAGGGCCAGGGGAAGGAAGAGATGGGATATATAAAGAAAATTAAAAGTTGTGGTTCCCCCCAGATGATGACATTTTGTTAAGCTGGACATTATAGTTAGTGGATGAATAAGCTTAGAGAAGAATTTGTCTAACACGTGTAATTCATTCAATCATTCATTCATTCATTTTTTTTCCACCTGCAGGCGTCACCAACACCACAGATGATGGAGCTTCTGAACCAACTGCAAGTGACGGTGATTGATCCAGCTGAGAGGACACGAATCTTCACCAGTGGCCTACGGATTATTGTAGTGAGAGACCCGCTCATCAGGTATAGTACTGCTGCTTCTAGTACCTTACACACACAACAATACAGGACCCATTCACTGTTAGAACTAATGACACGTAACCAAATATATATATTTTTTTTATCAAGACTTTTCTCCCTTTTAGAATACTTCACATATACCTGGACAAAATAGCTACAGATAAACCCTGCTCTGACTACATAAGGAAAGTGAAGAACACCATCAAAAGGAAATACAGGAGAGGGAAGAATACTAAGTCTACCCCGAGGTTTGAGGACTTCGTGCAGTACATCTTAGACTCGACCAGAAACCTTCATCAGGCTCAGGATTGGGTGAATAAGGTGGGTGATGGGTGATGTGTGGATGTGTGTGATGGTCAGAAAAATAAAGATAATGAATTATAGTAAGGGAAAGACAGATAGTTCACAAGAATACCAAGAGATTTAACTAGACATAAATAACTAGACACTCCCTCCTATTTCTCTACGTTAGGTTAGGTTAGTGCATACAGGTGTGTGCCAGGTAACATGTTAGTAAACCAACATGTGTTTAACAGGTACAGTACTGGAAGCCATATTGGGTTGATTGCAACGTGTGTGGAGCCAACTATGACCTCTTCCTTAAAACAGAGACACTCAAGGACGACGAGAAGTTCCTCACCACCGTAGTTAACTTGAAGGAGTATCAGAACGTAAGTACCGTGAGTGTCGTCAGTGGCGTGAGTGTCGTAAGTGGTGTGAGTGACGTAAGTGGCGTGAGTGACGTAAAGTAGTGTAGTAGCACGAACAGGTTTATGTATTAGGTAAATGATGATTGATCTTGTTATGTTATCTCTCTCTCTCTCTCTCTCTCTCTCTCTCTCTCTCTCTCTCTCTCTCTCGTGTCTTTGAAAGTAAAAAAATTTAAAATAGCTAAATATTTCATGTTTTCCTTTCACCAACAACTAAAGATCATTAATTCTTATTCTTTCATCCACCTACAGCTAAAGTCCGTTGAATAATTTTTTCTCTCATCAAAGCTATAAATGTATAACGTTTTCACTAACAGCTAAAGCTCATTAAATGCTTTCCGTTCACCAACAGCTAAAGCTCGTAAAATCCATTCCTTTCACCAACAGCTAAAGGTCATAAAATCCTTTCCTTTCACCAACAGCTAAGGGTCATAAAATCCTTTCCTTTCACCAACAGTTAAAGTTTCACCAACCAATTCCTTTTCCACCAACAGCTTGTATCAACGAAACACCTTGAAGCTGAGGGAGAAGTTAATTTCAACCTGAGCCAACAGGAGATGGAAGCTTACCTGAAACAGCTCGACCGTAAACAAATGCAGCAACTGTACCAACACTACCTGCTCGACTCTGAACTCTTTCAGTACAATTCGACTAAGTACCTTCATCTGACACACGACTAATGAAAGGTGCTCTGTGGTCCAGACTGATGCTGTAACGTCTTGGTTGATCGTCTGCCACTAATAATTGTTGTCAGCTCAGTCTTTGATTCTCATTGGTTACAGACAGTCTTTTGAGCTGTATGCACCTCTATACACCTTTAGGGGTGGAAAAGGTTAAGTTATCGTCTTCAAGGGGTTAACTTATCGTCTTCAAGGGGTTAACTTATCGTCTTCAAGGGGTTAAGTTATCGTCTTCAAGGGGTTAAACTATTGTCTATAAATACTTAACTATCATCCTCAGAAGGTTAAACCATTATCCTCATGGGGTTAAACCATCGTCCTCAAAGGGTTAAACCATCGTCCTCAAAGGGTTAAACCATCATCCTCAAAGGGTTAAATCATTATCAAAGAGGTAAACCATCGTCCTCAAAGGGTTAAACATTATCCTCAAAGGGTTAAACCATCATCCTCAAAGGGTTAAGTTATTCTCAAAGAGGTAAGCCATCGTCCTCAAAGGGTTAAAACATTATCCTCAAGGGGTTAAACCATCACTGGCAGGACCTAAGATATACACAAGGCCCAAAGCCTCGTATTTCCCCATAATAATACGTGTTACTTCATCATTAATGTCAACACAAAGTTATTAAAGGTTTGAGATTCTGGAGTCAGGTGTCGAACCTTGTAGCCTAATGAAGATGATTTCTCGAGATAACAGATCACTTACTCGAGATAACAGATCACTTCTTGAGATAACAGATCATTTACTCGAGATAACAGATCACTTCTTGAGATAACAGATCACTTACTCGAGATAACAGATCACTTCTTGAGATAACAGATCATTTACTCGAGATAACAGATCACTTCTTGAGATAACAGATCACTTACTCGAGATAACAGATCACTTCTTGAGATAACAGATCACTTACTCGAGATAACAGATCACTTCTTGAGATAACAGATCATTTACTCGAGATAACAGATCACTTCTTGAGATAACAGATCATTTACTCGAGATAACAGATCACTTACTTGAAATAGTGTTATTAATACATCGGTTTTACGGTGTGTTATATATTTTTACAGTATGACCGTAGTAGTGCGCCTGCCACTGTGTGATTCAGGATGACCTAAAAGAGTCTAATAATACTGTGTGATTGGTGCATATTTTTTCTGTATGTCTGTCTGTCTGTCTGTCTCTCTTTTTTTCCATTCTCTCACGATACTTGTCCTGACAGTCAATGCAAACCCGTCTAACTCACGGTTTGAGTCGACATTTTTTCTCCACTACATACACTGTACACGACGACCTACCTGACCAACTCGTAGCTTCGTGTCAGCAACCTTTTGTAATTGTATTAAAAACCAACTCATATGAATAACGAGAAATCTAAGCAACAGTATTTGTCTATAATGCCGTACTGACTTTGTTCTTGTGGTATAAACAGGAACAGTGTGATGATTTAGGCATAACACCTTCAGTATGTTATCAACAACGAATTGTATTGTATATTTGCAGTGAAACAGATGGATCTATGCTGTATGTGTACTGTGTGCATGTATCGAGGCATACCACTCACTCTATTGTTGATTTATTCAGTGTTTATCTATGTACAGTCGCCTCAAAAAGTCCGCGTCTCCTTCCGATCGAGTCAGTATGGAAACTAAATGAAATAACGCAGCACCGGCAGTGTTGGGATTCTGAACTACACACCTGTGATTATTCTTGTCCCTTACCTGAGGATGTTATACACATTTCCTCTAACATTACGTTCTGAATGTAATGGTAAAAAGAAATATTAGCAAACACATGATTCCTCACGTCCTTTTTTTAATTGGTGTTGTCACCCTGTTGATATCTCTCTCTCTCTCTCTCTCGCTCTGGGTGAAGATGGTGTGTTATTGAAGTTGTTCTCAGGGAAGAATGAAAATTGTGCCTTTGATCATTATGACATATCAATAGCATGTTTATCGTGGGAATCTATTACTTAAAAGAAATATGATGTAACAAATACAAAGGCGCTTATTTTTTTTAATTGAAAGGCGCGATAAAATCCCCTTATGCGCGAGATTTAATAAACAAATATTTTATAATACTGTATAATTATAGTCGAAACGGACGCGACCCAAGTGACGTCTAATCGTCCACTATCAGCTAAATCTCTCCCGGCGGCGGGAATGTATAGAACTATTTCACGCCTTATGTTCGTAGGTTGGATCACTTGTTTTAATACGAGTTTACACAATTTAGTGTGGTGGCCTGAACTCACACATGAGTCGCAGACACGAGGGCACGGAGTAGTGCACACAGCTCGTCTCAAACGAATGAGCGGCTACCCAAACTATATCGACCAGGTAATGCCAGGAACCTTTGTGGGGTACGGGTTGTTTCTCCTCCATCCTGTGTGAGTGCGAATATCCGGGGGGTCACCATTTGTGGGGTTATGAGATATTGGTTCACACTCAGGATGGGATGGAAAGGCTCACAATGTGCTCTCTGTATACATATTATATTGGATGTACAATGCAGCTTGGTGGCTGGGGCTGGGAGGAGGCAGCGTGGTTACAAGCGTGAATAGGAACTGGCTGGTGAGGTGCTTGCTTACGTCAGTTAAGCGCCAAAATCAAATGATTCATATTACGCTCAATAGCCCACAAAACATGTAACTCGGCTTTATTTTGGAAGAGTCCTTTTAACTGAGGGAGTCCGTTTCTCATCACTTCAAGACACCTCAGTCCTCCGTTATCCATTTTCTCTGACTTTCTGAAATCAACCTCTCTATAAAATGAATTTGAGTGTGAAGAGAACACCCTTGTTTTGAGTCAACAGATATGTCTGTTTTACAGTTGGAACATTTAAGATCCATTGTGAGTGGTGTTGAACGCTTCAACTGTCCTTATTGTTAGTAAAACGTGTCAAGTAAGTGGAGTGTCAGGTTTGCCAGCTAGAGTAGCGTATTTTATGTCGTCCGTGGGGATATCCGCAGGTTTCTGATCTCTCCTGAAGTTATATATCATTTTGTCGCCTTGAACATCAGAGAATCGATGTTTATAGTTTTAAGTTAGTGTCAGTTGTCTATTTAAGAAAAGTCATTAATCTCCTGAACAGTTCCTGTCAAACTCAAAATTCTCCAAAGACTTAACGGCCGTCTGACCTGGGATGTGGTTTTGCGGTCAGGCCAATAGAGTTGCGAACGCATATAACTCCATTTTCACCTCTTTACTGACAAGCTCAATCTGATTAGATCATAAATATAGATGTAGAAAATTAGCCTGATCTGTGACACTGACGGTCACAGCTGGGTGTCAACGACCGCTTTGAATGGGGGCCTGTTGTTGGTAAAATTAGTCTTTCTAGTAGGGATATGCCCTCAGGCGTATATATGCCAGCGCTGGAAAAATCACTCCCTCTGTGATTTCTTCTCCACGTCTCGAACGCTGTTGTGGGGGTTAGCAACACTCCTGAGGTCAGGGCCGCCTATGAACACGATGTCTCGAAGGATATAAGGTGGAGAAGATTAGAATCCCAGGAGAGATTCTTTTGGCAGACGCCACGGCCCACCTCCACCGCCAGAGTCAACCTTTTTTCCGGGCCAGGCGCTCTGAGCTGGCGACTAGCCTGTAAACAACTTTGGCCCACTGACTCCGACGTATGATCATGGTCTATCTACTGTTCTTGGTTATGTGTATGGAGCCGTATTAAATATCCATGCTTGGGGATATTTAGCAGAAATATAGTCATCCCGGGTTAAATGAACCACTGAATGAGAGTTAAAGTGCCATGTTGTTCCTTGCGAACTAACAGGAAGTGTTGTGTATCGCTGCTATAGTTGTGGAGTTGTCCGGTGTGTTGCGGCGTATTCGTCTGTAGTAACCATGAAAGAATAGAGGGTATGCTATTTATAACCAAAATTGAAGAGGTAATTTGCTACTTGTTAAAGTAAGACCTGAGGTCAGTATCTTGTGAATAATAATTACGGAATCTCATTGTCAAGGTAATATACTACAATTGTCTAATGAAGTAATAAGTATTTGGAGGTGTTTAATGAGATGTGAAAGTTCTTTAAGTGTTGATGACTTAATAAATAGTGCAGTTCTGTTTGTCTGAGTGGATCTGGGAATGCATCTTATCCTCACTGTGTTAATAAATATTGAATTAGTAATCTACGGTATCACCACTCTCCTTCCTAACTTATTGGTTCCCCAGAAAAATAATGCTTACTCGTGCCTATACATCTACCACACTACCCAAAAGCTTTCCATAAGGTTATGACATCTTCACTCAAGTCTGGTGGTGTAGCCTACTTGTAAGTATAATAAGTGCTGAGAATAACATGGTTCCCAGACTAACCCCATGTATACGAATAGACGTAAAACAAGTATGCTTCAGTAAGGTAAGAACAATTAAACTGAGTAAATATAATATACATAGAAAATTCAAAATTTGGAAAGAAATTACAAGAAAAGAAAGATAAGACATGTATGTACATTGTGGAACTAACGACACAGCCTAGAAATTATTAAATATATACATCATGAAAGTTTAATGTAAAGAACATACATAACCGAGAAGAGATTTACTTGTATAAGAATATAAAGTATATTTATAAATAAAGAATTGAAGAATAATAACAGAAAAGAATATCTGGATGGTAAATTATAAGATGAGAAGAACTCGGCCCGTTACTCGCCATACTCGCCGGCGGGAGCGGTGGAGGTGGTGTTACTTGAGGACTGGCTGTAGGTAGAAGAGGTAAGTCACCACGAGGTCAGGTCTTATATAACGGAGGTAGGCGTGGCTTAATAGTTGACCTCCGTCATGTAAGGCGGCGCTGGTTGACCTAGACCACGAGGCATACTCTGGGGAATTCGCGGGGTCGGCTAGCCAGTGACAAACAGCGTTTGTAGGGAAGGAATCCACTACGCCTTGGTGTAGTGAGAGGTGCACCTGGCGACCAGAACTAAGGACTGGATGGTGGCACATTTAATGCTCCAGGTGGAGTTATGGTCTTCACTTTATGCAGTGTGCAATGAATAGCACCTACCATGACACCATCAAAATGGCGGTGAGCGGAAATAAAGTCACATGATTTGTACACATTGACAACACAATATATATATGATGGCATTGCATGTAGGTTAGGTTAAGTTAGGTTGGGTTTTTTTAAGTGCCTTTTTTTCTGTGACTTTTTTCTTGGATTCCAAGATGGCACCTTACCAGTTGTGCTTTCTAAGGAAGAAAGTCAGGGCCGGATTCAGGAGTGGGCAAAGTGGGCAGCTGCCCAGGGGCCTCCACATATTACAATATTTTATTTATTTGTTTATTCATTTGGATTATTTTTATTTTCATTCTTTAAAATTCGTGTTTATCTATTCCAT